TATACCAAAGTCTCCCTCACAGCTCCAATATCAAGATATTATTTTATAAGCACCAGGGGTATAGGCTCTAAAATCCCCATCAGGGTCACTATCGGCTGTTTTGGGAAGGATGGAGGGCCTGGGATTTGACTCAAGGCTTCCTGCATGCAAATGCTTAAGCCACGCCTCCAGCTCATTTTGCTGTAGTTATTTGGAGATGGGGTTCTCGAACTATTTGCCTGGGATGGCCTTAAACCACCATCCTCTTGAGCTCAGTCTTCCAAATAGCTAGGATTACAGGAGTGAGCCACAGGCACGTTAGGGTAGAAAAATAGAGGAATCTAGAAATGTTGCTTGCCAGACTCCCTTCTAAATGGGTAATGTGTGTCGTGTTTACAGCCATACATATGAGAGCCTCAACTCATTAATGTTTTTTCCAGGATTCTTGGGCTCCAAGGCAAATGGATTTTATTTTTAGAGGGGGGAGGAATGGGGTTTGAACTCATGTGCTTTACCTCCTGAGTCACACCTCCAGTCGCATGGATTCTTGATCTTTATAGGATGAGAATCCTTAAAATGATTGAAAAGTGGAGGAGAAAGTCAAGAGTTAAGGTCATTTCTCTTCCACAGACCCTCTATTTCTTTTCTCTGCTGTCCTGCTCACCCTCGTTCTGGTATTCCAGCATCTCTTTATGCCTCTCTGCCTCAGATCAACTCCTGGGAAAGGGAAAGGGAAATGGAAAAGGAAAGGGAAAGGGAAAGGGAAAGGGAAAGGGAAGGAGGTAGCCGATAAACTACCTGCTCTGCGGAGGACAGGGGTTTGTGTGCCTCCAACCCTGGCTCAGGGTCACTGCATGTCTTAGCTCAGATTCCACCTCCAAGAGTGTCTCTTCCCCCTCCCCTGCACTGTTAAGGTGGGAGAGCCAACAGGATTGAATGTGATCTGGGACTAATGGGGCACTCATAGAAATTGACCGGGTCCTGTTGCACCTGATGGGTATTTTTTTCCTTTTTATTAATTTCCAATTTCATTTATTTTGTTGTGCTGGAGATTGAAGCCAAAGTCTCACACGTGCAAGGTGTGCACTGTACACTGATTTACCCCAGGACTTGGTGATCCAATATTCATTGAATTTTACTGCCACTTTCTCTACAGTAGGAGTGACAGAGTCACTCAAATGGTGAGAGTGCCTGACCCAGGCTGCAAAAAATAAAAAGAAATTTAAAAAGACAGATTACCGCTCAAAGTCGTGTGGGTAGCATTTCTAACTTCCTGTTTTTCTGTGCTCAAAACTGATAGTGAAAAAGGCAGAAAGAAAAAAAAAAGAATAAAACAGTGACCCTGTTGAATTTTAGAGTCCGTTTCCCTCAGGTTTACTCAATAATCTTTGCTTCTTGTTTTTTGTTTTGGTGAGACCTGCAGGACCTGCAGGACCTGCGGCACCTCAGATCTATTTTGCTCTGGTTAGTTTGAAGGTTTTTTCTTTTTTTATTGTACCGGGGCTTGAACTCAGGGTCTTCCTTGAGCCACTCCACCAGACCTATGTTTGTGATGGGATTCTTCGAGATAGGATCTCAGAAACAATTTGCCTGAGCTGGTTTCTGTTGATTCTCCTCATCTCTGCCTCCTGAGTAGCTAGGATTACAGGCATGAGCCCCCAGCACCCAGCTTGTTTCTTGTTTTTGTCCTTCTAGTGGCCTTGGGGTTTGAACTCAGGACTTCACACTTGCCAGGCACACTCTCACAGCGTGAGTTCCTTTGCCAGGTCTGCGCTTGCCCACAATAAGACAGAAATAGAAAAGGAATTAAAAGCGTGTTGCTGTCCCAACTTAAGCCACTCCAACAACCCTATATGACATGCAGCATTTTTGAAACAGGGCGTCAGGAGCTGTTTATCTCAATGTAAGACTATACATGAAATTAAGATTTCTCCAACTACAAAGATTAGCAAATACCACTGTTTTTCCACTGTAAGATCAGGGGAGAGCGCGAACGCAGTCCCCCACTACCACAAATTATGCAGTCGAGTTTCCCACATTTGGGGAAATCGCAGGGGTCAGCACATCCGGAGTGCAATGGATAAGCCTCGCCCTGGGAAAACCACCTTCGTGATCATGGTATCTCCCCTGCCAGGTAAGTATGAGTTGTCCCCTCCGCGCCACCCGCGCCCTCGCTGGCGCCCCACTCCTCACTCACGGTCACCGCGACACGCGCCCTCCGCCCCCGCGCCACCCCGGTGTTCCTGTCGCCGCTGAGGACAGGATCCCGGTACCGTGGAGCTGTCGTCCACGGGGACGTTAGGTCCGAAATGACAGGGACCGGCGGCCTCTGAGCGACGCCATATCTGCATATTCCACGCCTCTGTGCCGACGTCCCCTCCCCGACACCCGCCTACTAAGGGACAGGCAGGCGATCTGGGGTCCCGAGTCCGTCCGGCGAAGGTGCGCGCGGTGTCGGCTCTGGGAACGGAGGGGACCCCCGAGGGGACCGGGCCTCGCGACCCCCGCCAACGCCTGCGGGACCCCACGGGGCCGGGGCCGCATGCGGTCCGCGCCGCTGTCCCCTTCCTTTACGCAGAGAGACTTTCAGCCCCTGCTGCTCTCGCCAGTCCCACGGAACTCGTCCTCGCGGGACACGGTGACAGAGTCCCCTCTTCCCCTCCTTCAGCTCTGAGTACTGAGAGCTCCACGACCACCCGAACGGGAAGTCGTTTTTCCGTGACATCGTTCTCCGCACTCCTGTGGGAAATTACTTCCACGCCTCAGGCGCTCCACTTGGAAAACCTAAAGGGGAAAAATCCAGATTCTGTCCTGAAGAGAGTCCGGGACCAGGCTCAGACTTCGGGCACTGTGCGAATCGTGCTGTGGTTGAGTTCGTACCTCTGGAAACAGCGACTTAAAACACCTGAAAGTTCTAAGTGTCCTGTTGTGGGTCATGTCAACCACGCCGTCTGCCATAATCTCTTGATCTGTCCCCATCTCCACTGTGCGCAGACAGTGGATCCCACAAGGTCTCTGTCAGTAAACTGGGAACTTGTGCATCTTTACTAATCCTCCCAAGACAGATGGAGTCACATTACCCTCTCCTTAGTGACTCTGATCAATCGGACCGATAGAGGGTGACAGAAGCGATGTCCGGGAACTTCTGAGGAAGTCTTGCATCCTCACTGGGTCTTAGGGAAAGTCTTGAAGAAGGCTGACTGCTATGACGCGGCCACGTCTGGGGCAGCCCAGGCCTCGCGCACGCGCACGAAGACGCCTGCAGAGTTCTGTCCCGTGCTGAGACCACTCATCCGGGAACAGAGTAGTCCCTGCCAGGACTGCCGATCTGTGGTCCTCGTAAACGGCCACGTGTCACAGCCTTCGGCTCTCAAGATGCTGCTTTGCTCTGTACTTTCTTCTGCTCCGCGTCCACAGCGCACAGGGCCTCAAGCAGCCGCCCGGAGATGGCAGCCTCAGCCCCAGAGCTTACTTTTGATGTTGCAGGTCCTACGTCCACTGCCAACTCCTTAAAAGCTAAGCCTTGGTTTTAGGTGCGTGGGAATGGGCTTCTAATAGACCCAAGTTTTACAGAGCCTGATGAACGTGGACATACCTTCCTCCCCTGCACGGAGGGGAAAATTGCCTAGGCACGGTTCCCAGGAAAGGAGGGGGGAAAAAAAAAAAAAAAGGTTCCAAACAGGCATTCTCCTTCACATCGCTGTTACACCTAGGTGTATTGCAAGGGCGGGAAAAGGGGTTACCTCCTTCTGCCCATCTATCATAAAGGGTCATGGCCGCACCACAATGACAAAAGTGGGGTTTCCAATAGAATGTGTAGGAGAGGACATGTAGGAGAATAGTGGTATCTGACCCATCCAGTGACGATTGAGCCCTGATACCATTCATCACCCATGCTCTTCAGTTTATCCCTGCCTATGATCACTTTAGGTGCCCTGGTCAGCAGCTGTTACTCATTTCTGGGTTTTTTTTTTTTTTTCAGTACTGGGGTTTGAACTCAGCCTCATGCTCTACCACTTGAGTCATTTTGCCAGCCCTCTTTTTGTGTTAGGTATTTTTGAAATAGCGTCTTGGTTTTTCCAAGTTGGCCGCAAACTGAAGTCCTCCTAGCCCTGCATCCCAAGTAGCCAACATTACAGATGTGAGCCACTGGCGCTCAGCTTTATATATTATTTGTGGGATGGGGCTTGAACTCAGGGCTTCACCCTCTGAATTATGTGCTCTACTGCTCGAGCAGCACCTACAGTTCATTTTGCTCTGGTTATTTCGGAGATAGGGTCTCGAGAGCAATTTACCCAGGTGGCTTCGAACCGAGTTCCTCTGGATCTCAGCCTACCAAGTAGCAAGGAATATTAGGCTGAGCCACTGGGGCCCAGCTGTGATTTATTTTGTTTTATAGTTGGTCACAGGCCATCTTGACTCTCAGGTGGTGATGCTCCTCCTTTCTATCCATCATAAAGTTCATGACTGACACCAATATGACAAAAGTTAACGAGAGAAGCATAATACATTACGTGTCAACAGGACTGGCACCACTATGACTCGGGAGTGGGAGTGCATGAGGAATGAGCAGGAATTGGGACTGAGGAGAAGCCAAGAAAAGTAAGCTTTCGACGGAATTCATCATGCAGACTCAACAGTGTGAAGGCGAGGAGAGAGCCAGGAGATGAAAGGCAGGCAGAAGGGTTTGATGGTCGGAGGTTGGAGGTACTCATGTCTCGTGTCTGGGAACCTGTTAGCTTTCAGGCTTCCTGTCCCTCAGCATCTATATTTCTACATGATAGGTCACGTGAAGCATGAATGTGGATTCTACCATGTACATAAAGACTGCCATCACAGAGACTACTGCTTACAAGATGGAGACTAGTATTTTCGAGGATAAGGTCCCTGTTGTTTTCACACAAGCAGGAAACACAATAAGCAGCACATGTGGGTCTGGGATCCGCCCCCTTCTCCCTTCTTCCGGTCCCTTTGCCTGGACGTTCTGCGCAGGCGCGCAGGGAGGACTCGGCAGTGCGAGCGGAAGTGGAATCGGGGACGCCTTAGGGGAGGGATGCTGTGAAGTAAACACAGGAGCTTCGGGCGGTCAGTGGACCTGTGGGCCGCTGTATGCAGCCATGAACCGGCTCCAGGATGATTACGACCCCTACGCGCTTGAAGAGCCTAGCGACGAGGATCCGGCTTTGAGCAGGTGGGCCGCTGTCCCACCTTGGCCCCTCGCCCCAACCAGCCTCGGGCTGAGACCCGCCCTTCGATCCCTGTCACTCACTGTCCTGCGGAGTCTGAGGACCGCCGGCCCAGCCGCTCCGGCGGCCGTGGCGCCCCACTGCCGCTTGTGGGAGGGCACCGGGGTGGGGGAGGATAGGGAGGGGGCCTTCGGGATGGGGTCGTGGGCCCCTGCGGAGGCAGGGCTGCCACAAGCGAGAGTACCCGGTAAAAGGCCTTCCGGAATCGCGGGGGCCCAGTGTAAACCTTCAAAGCCATGACATCAAGTCCTGCCTTTACAGCTTACTAGTAGTGTGGCCGAAGGCAAGTCACTTCTCGGCTCCTAATTTATAACACGGAAATATAAGTATGGAAATACATACTTAAGCAACTGTCAAACAGAAGTAAGGCAATATTGAACAGGCGCTTTTCTACCATATTATCCCTGCTCTGGTTTATAAACCATAAGATCCTTGTCTTCCACAGGCTTACATTATAATAGGGGAAATAAGATAAAGTAGCTCGGAAGAGCATTGTAGAAAATGACCTGAGATGAAGTTCTCCGGAGTAATTTCCAGAAGGGAGGATTTATCCTATCTGGGGGAAACTTGCAGGTGTAAATATGGGAATTGAACCCAGGGTCTTTCGCAATGGAGGCAAGTGCTCTACCATTGAGCTGCACTACCGTCCCCAAGATTAGGGTTAGGATTAGGGATAATGCAATTGTGTGGGGTGGGGGGGGAGGGGAGGTGCTGGAGGTTGAACCCAGGGCCCTGTGCATGCTAGGCAAGCACTGTACCACTGAGCCATATTCCGAGTCTCAAACTTGGAGTTATAATGCTAAGAGATTTCCAGCCAATCTTAGCTATTTCTTTAGCTGCCAGCAGGTCCCATTCATATAATTAATTCTGAACATTAATTTTTGTCTGATGAAGCTGGCTGTGAAGCTATTCCTTCTTCATTTGCATGTTTCCTCATTATTTTGGGGAAGGGTGTTGGACATGGAAGATTAGACTACTGTGAAGATTTCTGTTGTGAGGTAGGAGGATGGACACCAGGATTCCTGTGAAAAAGTTTCAGGTAATGGGTCCTGTGTGTGAAAAAAAGTACATGCCAGCTTCAAGAGGTAATTGAGTTTGATTGGGATACAGCAGTGTTTCCTGAATTTGAGGGTTTTTTCCTGAGTTTTACCATCTCCATATACACCTGAATTGATTTAATCTCTCTCTTAAAGGTAAATTCACATTTTTAATAATTTCTTTTATTCATATGTGCATACAATGTTTGGGTCATTTCTCCCCCTCCCCCTACCAGGCAGAAACTATTTTGCCCTTATCTCTAATTTTGTTGAAGAGAGAGTATAAGCAATAATAGGAAGGACCAAGGGTTTTTGTTAGTTGAGATAAGATAAGGATAGCTATACAGGGAGTTTACTCGCATTGCTTTCCTGTTCTAAACTAACCTTTTCTCTAATTCCTGGTCCCCTTCTCCTATTGGCCTCTGTCACTTTAAAGTTTCTGCATTAGTTTCTCTGCATTGAGGGCAAAAATTGCTATCTAGCTTTTTGGGTGTCTTACCTATCCTTATACCTCCCTTGTGTGCTCTTGCTTTATCATGTGATCAAGGGTTGTGTTTACCCTTGATCTAATGTCTGCATATGAGGGAGAAATCTCTTGGGCCAGGCTAACCTCGCTCAGAATGATGTTCTCCAGTTCCATCCTTTACTTGCGAATGATAAGATTTCATTCTTCTTCACGGCTGCATAAAATTCCATTGTATATAAATACTACATTTTCTTAATCCATTTGTCAGTAGTGGGGCATCTTGGCTGTTTCCATAACTTGGCTATTATGAATAGCGCTGCAATAAACATGGGTGTGCAGGTGCTTCTGTAGTAACCTGTGTCACATTCTTTAGGGTATATCCCCAAGAGTGGTATTGCTGGATCGTATGGTAGATCTATATTTAGATTTTTAAGAAGCCTCCAAATTTTTTTTCCAGAGTGGTTGCACTAGCTTGCATTCCCACCAGCAGTGTAAAAAGGTTCCTTTTTGCATTCCTCCACCAACCCCCCTCCCCAGCATCCTCGCCAACACATGTTGTTAGTGGTGTTGCTAATGATGGCTATTCTAATGGGTGAGGTTGAATCTTAGTGTGGTTTTAATTTGCATTTCCTTTATGGCTAGAGATGGTGAGCATTTTTTCATGTGTTTTTTGGCTAAATTCACATTTTTTAGTTAATTTTTTTCTTGAATGTACTGGTGTTTGAACTCAGGGCCTTGGTGCTTGCTAGGCATGTGCTTTATCACTTGAACTATGCCTCCAGACGTGTAGTTAAATTTCTTTAAGGAAGCTTTATAGTCTTGTGATAGTTCCCACTGGTAAGGTAACTGTAACGGTAAATACTTCGAAAACAATGTTATGGGACCGTATTGCCTGCTGAAGGCTCTGACCTCAGTGCTTTTTTTTTGTAGATAAGGTGTTATGTAGTCCAGCTGGCTTGGAACTCTCAATCCTTCTTATTCAGCCTCCTTAGTTCTGGGATTACATGTGTGCACCACCACACTCTTGGCAGTACTTGCTTTTTTTGATGAGATTGGGCTTTGTGCTTTGCAAAGGAGGTGCTGTACTGCTTGAGCCACATCTCCAATCCAGTTTTTGCTCTGGTTAATTTGAGATGGGGGTCTCTGGAACTATTTTATCTGGGCTGGCCTCCAACCTTGATCTTCCGGATCTCAGCCTCCCAAGAGCTAGGATTAAAGATAAGAGCCACCAGTGCTGGCAGTATGTTGTGTTAAAAAGGAACATTGGTGTTAGATGTCTGTCAGAATTTGCTTTTATACTACTGATAAGATAATACATTCCATCCTGTTACTGTGTTATGGAAGCCGGTGGAGGACATGAGACTGCTGAGTCAGAGAGGAAAGAGTACACATAGCAAGCATCATGTTGTGTTGATTGACCTTACTTCTCAACCCTACACACCAATGGGTTTAATTAGATAAATGCTGCTCACTCAGTGTGTTGGTGATGTGGCTAAGGAACACTTGAGTGTAGAGAATCTAGTTCTTCCATAGCAGACAGTAAATAAGCCTGCTCTCTGTCCTGGAAAGAGACATTAACCTAATTCCTCAAGGTTGCTCACTGGCAACACAATGCTGAGAATCAGGGTGGGCAAAGAGTGATTCTTGGCATGCTCAACAACAATGTGCAGGGCATATCATGTTTTGTCCCTTCCAGCAGTGCTAAAGACAGACTTTACTTGAGATAAGCATGAGGATTGGAGAATTTGCAAAAAGAGTAATCCCTTTGCCTTATTTATTTATTGCAGTTCTGGGACTTGAACTCAGGGCCTACACCTTGAGCCACTCCACCAGCCCAGACCTTTTTTATGATGGTTTTTTTTTTTTTTTTTGAGGTAGGCTCTCACTCACTATTTGCCCTGGCTGGCTTCAAACCTATGATCCTCCTGATCTCAGCTTCCTGAGTAGCTAGGATTACAGGTGTGAGCCATTGGTGGGTGCCCAGCATCCCTTTGCGTTGTAATTCAATTATTTTTTTCCTTCAGTACTGTGGTTTGAACTCAAGGCCTCACGCTTGCTAGGCAGGCTCTCTACCATTTAACCACTCTGTCAGCATGATTCGAGTTTTAAAGCCTTTTTGTTTTGAAGTTATTGTGGATTCATATGCAGTCATAAGAAATAATACAGACAGTTCCTGTGTACCCTTTATCAAGTCTTCTCCAATGTTAGCACACTAGCAAACTATAGCGCAGGGTCACAATTGGTATAGATACTAAGACAGTCAAGGTATAGAACATTCTCTCATCACATGGATCCTATTGCCTGTCAGTCTATCTCTCTCTCTCCCCCTCCCTCCCTCTCTGTCCGCCCCATTGTCTAGATCAGTCGATGCAGGTTTTTGCAGGTATTAGTAGTTTATTTCTTTTTTACTGAACAGTTCATTCACTGAAGGACATTTGGGTTATCTGTACTTTTTGTTATTGTGAATAAATCTGTTGTAAACATTCCTGTAGAGGATTTTGCTTTTTTTTTGTGGTACTGAGGTTTGAACTCAGGGCCTCATTAGGAAGGCACTCTATCACTTGAGCCACTCCACCAGCCCCATATATAGGTTTTGTATGAATACAGGTTTTCATTTCTACAATGCCTTGTAGTATTGTTGCTGGCTGCTGGGTTGTGTAGTAGTTGCATGTTTAGTTTTATATACTTATAAAAACTACCAAGCTATTTCTCATGGTGTCTGTACCATTTTATGTTTCTATCAGCATTGGATTCAGTATTACTTAGTGGGCTGACTATTCTGCTATTACTTAAAATAATCTTTTTTGTGTGTGCATGATACTGGGGCTTAAACTCAGGGCCTGTACCTTGAGCCACTCCATCAGCCCTTTTTTTGTGATGGGTTTTTTCAAGATGGGGTCTTGAGATCTAGTTGCCCAGGCTGGCTTCGAACCATAATCCTCCTGATCTCTGCCTCCTGAGTAGCTAGGATTACAGGCATGAGCCATGGGCACCCAGCTACTTAAAATAATCGTGTATGTCACACTCTGCAAACACTGGGATGTAGGATCAGAGTTTCTCAACTGTAGTAGCATTGGCATTTTGGGTCAAATAGTTCTGTTTGTTGGGGATATCTTGTGCATTTTGGATGTTTAGCAGCATCCTTCCTTAACCCTTATCCACTAGATGCTAGTTGTCCCTCCCTCCGTTGTCAATCAAAAATGTCTTTACCCATGCTTTATATACCATGAGGGCAAAATTGTGTCTAATTAAGGACTAAGAAGGTAGATAGAGGGTAATTGTGGGAGTTAAGGTTGAAAAAATAAAGTGGAGCCAGATTGTGGAAGGCTGTTTTGAATGCTGTGCTCAGAGGCTGGCATGGAAGACTCCTGAGTTGCATAGTGAAGTGATGAGAGTCTTTTAGGAATAACATTCTCCAGTAGCATTGAGGGTGTGGTGAAACAGAAGAGAGTTGGGAGGCCTGGAGACCCTTAGCATATGGTAGTACAGACAGGGTTAAGAGGACTCGAGTGAAAATAGTACTGGAGAAAGGGAGCATGCTAGTTAGGATGTTGATTTATCTGTCAGATGGGATAGTTTCTAGGAGTGGATTCTGGCTGAAGCCTCAATCATCAGTGCAGTTAGCTAGAGAGAATTGTGTTTTTATGGTTGATCTTTTGCTGGACCTTCAAAAGCTTTGTTCTCTAAGAGAAAATAGAGAAAAGTCAGGATCATTATGTCTTCACTAGTCTATGAATAATTGAGTATTATGTATTACTGGTTCTATTACTGTATCTCAGGCACTTAATTCATTTTGTTAATGTTTCATTCCTCCTCATGTTTGGTTTAATTCTGTCATAATACTGTTGATGGGGAACCCCAGTCACACGAGGCAAGGTAAATTGGCAGAAATTGCTTAGGAGGATCTGGAATATAATTTTGCTTTCTCTCTATTTATAGTTCTCTATAGTACTGTGTCTTTTAAATTGTAAAAATTAATTACAATCTTAGTATATTTTGTGTGGATATGTTAGCTGTATATTAATTATGTATATTAAGTTATATTTAAATATCTACAATTTTAGAAAGGTCCCACTTCTGTGAAGTAAACTTTTTATTGCTGGCGTAACTATGAATTGGTGCAGTAGTTTTGGAAAATAGATAGAAGTTAGATATTTGTGTCTAATTATACACATTTGTTCTGGGGAAATCAACAGAAACAAAATTGCATATACAGAAATTTTCATTATACTTTTTAAATAAAGCAAAGCATTTAGAAATAAGTACATAACACAGTATAAAGGAAATGTTATCTAAATTTTATATTTAGATAACATTTATTTAGATAGTATATTTGGAAATATGCAGAATTAGTGGATCTGTTGATAATTGCTGAGTGTAATATGATAGGTATATCAAAACTTTTGTAAAAGTTAAAATTGCTGTTGAACAGTGAGATGATGGGGAGTTTTAAGTGATTTTATTTATTTATTTTTGCAGTGCTAGGCAGTTGCTCTGTCACTGAGCCATATCTAAAGCCCTGATTTTAATTTTTAAATACTCATATTTTTTGTGACTTTAAATATATGCTAGCTCTGAAGATGAAGTTGATGTGCTTTTACATGGAACTCCTGACCAAAAACGAAAACTAATCAGAGAATGTCTTACTGGAGAAAGTGAATCATCTAGTGAAGATGAATTTGAAAAAGAAATGGAAGCTGAATTAAATTCCACTATAAAAACAATGGAGGACAAGTTATCCTGTCCGGGAACGGGTAAAGTTTTGGTTCAGTTTTCATATATATTTTTGTAAGTTCTACAAGGGCAGGAACTGTATCTGTGCTCTTTTGTGTCTCTAGTGCTTTCTGAAGGTACTCAATTTACTTATTAAGTGAAGGAATAAATGTGTTTGGTAACCTGAGCCACACTACTTTCATTTGATGATCATGGGGCATGCCATGTGTATTTAATATTGTTAATTTGTAACATTTCCTTTTGTAGTTATTACTGTAGGATTTTTAAAAAAAGACACACCTGCTTATAAAAGTATTTTTAGGGTTAGATGGCACTAACGTTAAATTTAATGATATGTTACCACAAATTCCCACCTCATTTTATTTACTTATTTTTTTGGTGACACTGGGGTTTGAACTCAGGTCCCCATGCTTACTAGACAGGTGCTCTACCACTTGATACACTCTGCTAGCCCCATTTGTTTTGTTTTTTGAGACCAGGTCTCACTATGGAACCCAGGCTGGTTTCCAACTTGTGATCATTCTGCCCATCTACCTGAGTGCTGGGATTGCATACATGTACCACCACACCTGACTCATTTTGAGGTCTTTATGTAAAAAGAATCGGACCCAAAAACTGGATTGTGCAAGTAGGACTCTTCAACATTGATTTTCATGTTAATTTGCTGTGTATTACTTTTGAAGAACTGACAGTATATAACTAAAGCAGGTGTTAATTAAGAGGAAGAATTAGGAACACAGCATGTGAAGACATAAATGTAAGTAGTGGCGTGGCCCTGAGTATAGCTGGAGAGAGGAAGAGTAGTTCTTGACCAATACCCCTGCCTTCCTGTAGTATTCTTATCCTTTTCCCACTAAGGACCCTTAAAACAAGACATTCAGAATAATTTCGAAATATATTTTATTTGTGTAGGAAAATGGTATGACAGAACACACTGAAAGCTGTTGACTAATGGGGGTAGAGGGGAAAGGGAAGGGAGAATAATAGAGTTAATCTGATTAAAGTGAATATATTCATGGGTGAAATACCATGGAGAAACCCTGTTGAACAAGGTGTATACACTTGAAAAATGAAAGACTGGAATGAAAAACAGATCCTGTTGGAGGGTGGGTACTAGTGAGAATGGGGAGGATAAATGGAGAGCATGAAGGAGGAGGAAAAATGTTGATGTACTTTATATATTTGTATGAAAATACATGAAGAAACTTGTTGAGATTATTTTAAGTGTGTGTGGGGAGAAGGGTGGAGGGGATGAGTGTAACCAAGGTACATTGTAAACATACATGGAAATGTGACAAATGAAACTCCGCCATACAAGTAATATATGCTAATAAAAATGTTTACTCAGAAAACCAAGACACTCATTTCCTGTTCTCCACAGTATCCTGTAGGACTAAAGGATAGAGAGACAAATGCTGGTAACTTGAAAATATGCCCTTTTTTGGGGGGCGGGGTTGAACTCAGGGCTTCACAATGGACAAAGAAGGCATTCTCACTCTTGAACCACACCTCCATTTTCTTTGGGTTATTTTGGAGATGGTGGTCTCTAGAACTTTTTGCTTGGGCTGCCCTCGAACTGTTGTAATCCTTCCCATCTCACCTTCCCAATAGCTAGGATTATAGGTGTGAGCAACCAGTGCCCAACTAGAAAATTTATTTATTTATTTATGGGATTTGGAAAATGCATTTTGTTAAGACACTGTCTCAATGCTGTCATTCTTTAGCAGAGGCTGCTTGCCACCTCCAGTACCTTCTCTCTTTTTTTTGGTGGGACTGGAGTTTGAACTCAGGGCTGCATGGTTCCAAAACAGGTGCTCTACTGCCTGAGCCACACTTCCAGTCCAAAATACGGCTTTTTAAAAATTCAGTTGAATTTGGGTCAGGCCCTGGTTAATCCTAGCTACTTGGGAGGCTGAGATCGGAAGAACAGAAGTTTGAGACCAGCCCAGGCAAATAGTTTGAGAGACACGCATCTCCAAAATAACCAGAGGAAAATGGACTGGAAGTGTGACTCAGGCGGTAGAGTGCCTGCTTTGCTGGCACAAAGCCCTGAGTTGAAACCCCAGTTCCACCAAAAAGAAAAAAGAAATCATTTGGATTTGTAGAAAGGGAGAAAGAATAATTTTCTCAGGGTTTGGAACACTTTAATCAAAGAGGGGCAAGTCCTTATGTAGTAATTGTGTAGGACAAGTAACTGTGTAGGGCATAGAAATAGCAAGTAAATTGTGAGAATATTCACCATCCAGATGAGATTGTGAATATGTTAATGTTACTTTGGAGTGATGGAAAAATATGTGGTTTTTTTTTTTTTCTTGTGAATTATGTATGGTTTAGTCTGTAAAGTTCACTTCTGGTTTTAACAGGGTCTTCCTCAGGAAATGGGAAAGTTGGAATAACTCCAACAAAGTACTATGATGATATATATTTTGATTCTGATTCTGAGGATGAGGACAAAGCAGGTAAGTAACATTTTGTTTAGCAGTTTAGTTTATGAAAAAGGTTCACCTAACAATTATTTGATATTAGGATTTCCCTCTTAGTTTTAATTTTTCCCGCTTTTTTTATTTTTTTAAAAATAGGGCTGTTGGTATAAAAAGAAAAGCAGGATTGGCTAAGAAAATGTGTACTCAGACATGAGTACACAGCTATGTTGGTGCACCTGGGGAAGAGGGAGAGTGTGTCCTGACTCACCACCTCCCCCGAAGAGGGCTCTTTTCCACCTATTTTCCTCTATTAGGTTCCTTGGAGTCCAAACATTTGTTTTCACATCTGCAAATAGTTTCCATATTTTATTCTCCTAGGGAATTTTTCCTAATGTGTTAAAAATAACTAATTACTTATAATAGGAGTTACACTAGAATACACAAATAACAAATTTATATAGTACAGAAAGTTTTTGTGTATTATGAATTAAATATTGACCTGCTAAAGAACATTTAAAGAGTGTAGTAGGGATGCCTGTAGTTTTTGTTGGTTTTTTTATATGTTGAGGACAGGGCTTCATGACTATGAGGCAAGCAGTCACTGAATTATAACCCCCAGGCTCATACTTTTAAGTTTTTTTGGTACTGGGGTTTGAACTCAGGGCCTACACTTTGAGCCACTCCACCAGCCCTTTTTTGTGATCGGCTTATTTGAGATAGGGTCTCATGACCTATTTGCTTGGGCTGGCTTCGAACTGTGATCCTCCTAAATCTTTGCTTCCTGAGTAGCTAGGATTACAGGTGTGAGCCATTGGCACCTGGCTTCCTAATTTTTTTTAAGATGGGGTCTTGATATTTTGCTCCAATAACTGGGACTATAGGTTTGTGTCACATGCCCAGGTAGGTTTCTTTTTTTCATTTTTGATTTATTTTTGCTCTGACTTTAGTAGTATTTCATATATGAGAACTTGTAGAGAATTTGTACATCAAAAATAGTTCCTTTTTTTTGGTTTGTTTGAGAAGCCGTTTTGAGACCTGAATTCTTTTATTTGGGCTTCATCCTTGAGGTACTACTCACTGATAAAGAGATAATTTTGAACCAGGTATGGTGACACACAACTGTAATCCCAGCACTCCAGAAGCTGAGGAGGATCATGAGTTCAAGGCCAGCTTGAACTATATAGCAAGACCCTGTCTCAAAAAACCAAAAAGAAAAAAAAAAGTAGCAATTTTGGTCTTCTCTGTCATCATTATTTTAGTGCCTTGTTAATTTGACAAGAACTGCTTTTGAAGAATGGATTTAAAATTTTTCTAGAATAATATAAATAGAAGAAGTATACAGCTTAGGGAACAGGGAATTCTTCATTTTATATTAAAGAAGTGTGAACTTTATACATGATACTTAGCTATATTCTTAATCTTTTAAAAATTAGCACAAGTGACCAAGAAAAAAAAGAAGAAACGGCACAGGATTCCAACAAATGATGAATTACTATATGATCCTGAAAAAGATAACAGAGACCAGGCATGGGTTGATGCACAGAGAAGGGGGTAAGAATTTAATATTTAGAATCCTTAGAAAAAATACCAAAAAATGATTTTCATTACATTCACAATGCCCTATATGTTTATGTTACTGGGATTTGAACTCAGGGGCCCAACCTTGCTGGGCAGGTGTTCTACCACTTTTGCAACTCCACCAGCTCTTTTTGTGTTGGGTATTTTTGGCATAGTGTCTCAAGAACTGTTTGCCCTGGCTGGCTTTGAACTGTGATTCTCCTGTCCTCTGCCTCCTAAATAGCTAGGATTGCCACTGGCGCCTGGCTATGTGTATGTTTTTATACTCACACATAAAAGAAGTTTGAGAGAAAAAACTACTGAGTAGTTTATTTTGAAAATAACCAGAAAATTGGTTTTTAAAAACTATTGTCAGATACAGACTGAATGTTAGTCTCTCCATTCAGGAAAGAAAACTGACTTTTTAAAATTATTTTGGGATTAAGAGTTTATGTGGATGAATTGATAATTATGTTAGCACCTAAGTGTTCTTTTAAACTATTAACAAACTTTATTTTTTAAAATGTGAAATTTACAGAACATAAAATTGACTATTTTAAAGGGAACAGTTGCTTGGCGCTGGTGCCTATAATTCTAGCTAGTTGGGAGGCAGAGATCAGGAGGATTGCAGTTTGAGGCAAGCTCCAGCAAATGGTTCGAGAGATACTATCTTGAAAACACCCAACACAAAACAGGCTGGCTCAGGAGGCAGAGATCAGGAGGACTGCTGTATAAAGCCAGTTTGGGCAAATAGTTTGTGAAACTCCATCTTGAATAAACCCAACACAAAAACAGGGCTGGTGGAATGACTCAAGGTATAGGCCCTGAGTTCAAGCCCCAGTACTTCAAAACAAAACAAAAACAAAAACAGGGCTGGCGAAGTGGCTCAAGTGGTAGAGTGCCTGCCTACCCCTGAATTTAACCCCAGTTCCACAAAACAAACAAACAAAAAAGGGAACAATTTAGTGGCATTTATATACAATATTTATTTATTTAGTGGCATATTTATACAATATTGTGTGGCACTCACCTCTCTAATTTCAAACCATTTTCATTATCCCAATAAGAAACCTATACCATTAAGTATAGGTAGAATACTATAAGGGGGTAGAAGCTTCCCTTCTACCCTCTTAATCCCTGGCAAATCCACAGCTCTTTATTCTGTCTCTGTGTATTTACCTATTCTGGGTATTTTGTATAAATGGGATGTCATACAATATGAACCTTTTGTGTCTAGTTTCTTTCACTTAGCATAATGTTTTTGAGGTCCATTGCAGCATATATCAGTATTTCTTTTTATGACTGAATGGTATTTTTTTTTGATACTGAGGTTTGAACTCAGGGCCTCATACTTGCTAGGCAGGTGCTCTGCCACTTGAGCCACTCCGTCAGCTCTGTTTTATGTTGGGTATTTTTTGTGTGTGTGAGTAAAAAGGGAGAGTTAATTGAGATAGAAAAGTTGTAGCAGAGTAGAGCTCCCAGAGCTAGCAGGGGTCCCAAGATAGGGTTTCTTGAACTATTTGCCCAGACTATCTTTGAACTGAGATCCTTCTGATCTCTGCTTTCCGGGTAGCCAGGATTATAGACCTGAGCCATCGCAGCCAGCATGACTGAATGATATTTTATTGTGTGTATGTATCCGTTTGTTTATCCATTCATTCACTGGGGGATGTTGGTGGTGTTTCTGTTTTTGACTATTGTGAATAGTGTTGCTGTGAACATTGGTGTAGAAATTTGAGTCTTTACTTTCATTTCTTTTGGTTCTGTACCTAGGAATGGAACTGTTAGATCAAATGTAATTCTGTAACTTTTTTCTCCCCACACTGCTGGGGATTGAACCCAGGGTGTTGCCCATGCTAGAACAAGTGTTCTACCCCTGAGCTACATCTCTATATTTAACTTTTTGAAGAACCACCAAAGTATTTTTCACTGAGGCTGAATCATTTTACATTCTCACTAGCAATATATAGTGGTTAACAAACTTGATTTTGCTATAAAGGCTGATTTCACATAAAACTAAAGCTGGGCAACTTAACACCGTTATCCAGTGCTTCTCTAAGCAGTCAGTATCTGCCTGGGGAGATTGAAATGCAGACCCTTGATGTCTTGGTTTTTTAGTGCTGGGGCTTGAAGCCAGGGCCTCTGCGTGCTAAGCACATACTCTATTATTGAGCTACACGCTCAGCTCCTAGGGGGTCTTTGATTAAGCTCCCGAGGGGTCCGAGTATCTTTATTTTTCAAGCCTGGAGAGATTGATGTATGGGGATCTTTGTACATCACCTGTTAGATTCTCCTTTCCCACTTTGTCCCTTTTTCCTTTCCACGTTTTGCTCATGCACTGTTTCCTTCACTGTCCCCTTGTTTGTAATGATTTGAATTTTTTTTTCTAAAGTCAGAATCTCTGAAGCACAGGTTGGTCTGGAATCACTATGTATGCTGTGTAGCCTAGATGGGCCTTAGGCACTCAAGAGTTTTCTGCCTCACAAGTACTTTTTTTTTTTTTTTTTTTTTTTTGAGACATGTCTCACTAGATAGCTCAGGCTGGTCTTGGACCCAAGATCCTCCTACTTCAGTACTAGGATTACAGGGGTGTGCCACCATGCGTGTCTGAATGGATTTTTTTTTTTTGATCACGCACAGCATGAAATGAACATTTTAAGTGCTACAAGTAATATTGAGATGGTCAAGGAGCTTACAGTCTAGCAACAAAATTTGTCAGTTAAGTAAGATGGAATGTGTTTTCTTTTTTTTGGGTGTGATGGGGATCAAACCCAGGCCTCATGCATGCTAGGCATGTGCTCTACCACTGAGCTATGTCCTCAGTCTTTTTTTTTTGGTGGTACTGGGGTTTGAACTCAGGACCTACACCTTGAGCCATACCACCAGCCCTTTTTTGTATTGGGTGTTTTTGAGATAGGGTCTTGGAAACTATTTGCCCGGGCTGGCTTCGATCCTCCTGATCTCTGCCTCCTGAGTAATTAAAGAATACAGGTGCCTGCCCCCAGTCTTTAGTTTTTTGAGACTCATCTCATTATATAGCTGTCCTTGAACTTGAGATTCTTTTTGCTCAGCCTCCTGAATGTTGGGGATTACAGGAGTATGGCACCACACATGAATGGAATGTATTTCCATTGTTATATAATCTTGAGAAGTAATAATTCATTGATTTGTTATTCATATTACTGTATCAGGCAGTAGCCTTTTAACACCACAGAAACCAACTTCATATAATGAATTCATTACATTTTATACACCACAGATAAAGTAGTCATGCCTGTGTCATTCAGTGCTGTATCTCTCACATCTTACACGTTGTTAAATAGACAGACAGTAAATACCTATTATTGAATGAATGAATGAGTTATTTTCTTGGGGTTTTGGTTTTGAAATGTGCTAAGTGTTGGAGGTGTTTTGACAAATATTAAATATGTATCAGGAGTTTTCCCTACAGTATTTAAAGAATTTTTAAAGCAATACCAAATGACTCACTGTACAGTATTTTTAGGAATTTGCTGTATGTCTTCTAAAAAATAGATACTCATATGTTAGTGCCTCTATAAATGGGTTCATGCTTTATTCTTTCAGTCAGCAAATATTTTTTGAGCATTTATTATATTCTCCACACAGTCTACCAGCCCTTTTTGTGTTGGGTGTTTTTGAGACAGGGCACTAATTGCCTGGGCTGGCTTCATTTGAACCGTGATCCTCCTGATATGAGCTTCCTGAGAAGCTAGGATCACAGGCATGAGCCACCATGCCCTGCTGTCCACTGTTCTGAAATACAGTAGGGAGCAAAGCAAACAAAAATCTCAGAGTTTACATTTCTGTTTCTTTAATGTAGCTTTCTGTATTTTTAAATTAATAGGCTTTTTTTTTTAGAACAGTTACAGAAAGATTGAGCAGATAATAGAGTTCCGATATACCATTTCTTAACCTCAACACACACAGTTGCTCCTATTCTTAACATGTTGCAGTTAGGGAACCAATACTGATGCATTATTGTGAACTAAAGTTCATAGTTTATTAGATTTCCTTAGTTTTTACCTGATGTCTGTTTTCTGTACCAGAATCCTACCTGAGATACCATTCTGCATTTAGTTAATATTTCATTCAGTTCTTCCTGATGATGAGCCTAAAAAAGTTTCTCAGATTTTCCTATGTATGATGACTTTGAGGAGCACTATTCAAGAATATGAAGGAGGTCCCTCTGTGAGAAATCATTTTCATATGCTTCTCATAATTAGACTGAGATTGTGTTTTTGTTTTGTTTTGTTTTTTTGAGACAGGGTCTCTTATATAGCCCAGTCTGGCCTTGAAATCCCAATCTTCCTGCCTCAGCTTCCCAAGTGCTGGGATTATAGATATGTACCACCATACCCAGCCATACTGTACTTTTTGAAAGGAAACCACTATGCGTAGCTCAGACTAATGCTCTACCACCCTGAGAGTGGAGTATAAGTTTGGAATTCTTCTGTATGGTAGATTTATTTGTTCTCCCCCATTTAGTTATTTATTCAATCGTTTATATTAGTGTGGATCATGAGTATTTTTTGAATGTTGAATTATATCCCATACTGTTTTATTTTGTTGTTCAGCTTTAGCTATTGGAAGCTCTTTCATTTGACTCCTGTTCCCTTTATCATAGCCCCTTATTGTTTTGTGTTAAGTAAGCACTTCTTTACTTTCTGCTACTGCAAGATACTGTGGCTTCATCCCATATGCCATATTCCCAAAGTCAGCTGTTTCTCTGAGTAGTGGTTCCTTTTATTGGAGAGTAGCATTTAGAAACCAAGATTTGGCTGTAATGTGTTTTTTTCCTCTCAATATCCTTTTCTGTTCTAGTTATCATGGTTTTGGATTACAGAGGCCTCGTCAACAACAGCAGCCTGTTCCAAATAGTGATGCTGTCTTAAACTGTCCTGCCTGCATGACCACTCTCTGCCTTGATTGCCAAAGGTAATGGATGAAGGTTAACACACAAAACAAAAAGAAAAGAAAACCAAAACAAACCACAAAAATACTTGGGGGTCCTTTGTTTAAAACAGAAATAGACTTTTTGTTTTGTTTTGTTTTGAGACAGGTTTTCACCATAGCCCAGGCTGGCTTTGAACTCATGATCCTCCTTCCTCAGCTTCTGGAGTGCATATGTCACACCTCTGGAAGATACAGACTTTTTGTTTGTTTTGGTTTTTTGAGAAATAGACTTTCAACGTATTTAGAATTAGGTATTGGAACTAGGGTCTGGCTATGTAGGCCAGGCTGGCCTCCAGCTCACAGTCCTGCCTCAACCTCTCAAGTGTGGGAATTATAGGTGTGTAGCACTATGTCCAGCTGAGGTTCTTAGGAATTGTGATAAGGTCTGTTACTTACAATCCTTGGTGCTACATGACTGACCTGTATTGTGGGGAGTGGATTATGAGAAGCCTATGAGAAATTGACATAAGCACAGTTGTGCTTAATGATCTGCAGGCTGAGTTTGGCACAGCCCTAGCCACAGAAGAGAGCGAAGGCAAACTGCAGCACAGCTGCTTTTCCTAAGTTGCTTATGTTCAGAGAAGTAGGAACACAGGTTTCTCTTGTTACAATGTCATGTCCCTCCCTGAGAACTCTTGCACCACTTCTTTGTATAAAAGATTCCCTGAAGGAGGACACAAGGTTTTTTAATGGAGGATGGATTGATTGGTAGGCAGCTTGCAAGGGGACTGCTGCAGAATGACGCTGCTGCTGCTGAGTTATGCTAGAGATTAGAGGAAATATGGAACAGTGCAAGTCTGAGCACCAAGACTTTCAGAGAGAACATGGGACAGTGCAAGTCTGAGGGCAAAGACTTTAAAAGAGATTAAAGAAAACATGGGACAGAGCGAGTTTAAGGACCGAGACTTTTAAGAGTTATGCTAATGCAGTTTTTAGACATGGTTGCTGCTGTTTGTCTGTGAGTCTGAGCACAAAGATTTTAAGAGAGAACATGGGACAGTGCAAGTCTGAGGAAAGAGACTTTAAACTATAGAAAAGAAAGACTTCAGAAGTAAGGTCTTAATGAACAGAGAAAAGAGAAGTAAAAGAAGAGTTATTAGAGAAAAGAAGCAACGAGGCTGTTGCATCTCCATCCAAGCACCCAGCATATCTGGCCCCTACTTTATGCATGTCTGTCTTCTATCATTTGTCCTTTCTGCATCTCCCGTTGTCCCCAGTTATGTTCAGTAGAACCAGGAGCTCGAGGAAGCTCACTACACTCTGTAGAAAAATTTTGAATATACTTTATTCTATTAAAGTAGCTTTTAAAATAAAACACTCGCCAACGCTAATAAGGATTTAGTGAAACTGCATGTATGTTGTGGAATGACATAATCTCATAAAGGAAAAAAACTTGGGTTTTTGTTTTGTTTTGTTTTGTTTTGGTGGTACTAGGGCTTGAACTCTGGGCCTCACACTTGCTAGACAGGCACTCAACCACTTGAGCCACTCCACCAGCGGAAAAATGGTTTTTATACTCATATTACTTTTCCCATCCAAGTACTAACTTGGCCTGACTCCGCTTGGCTTCCAAGATCAGATGAGATCAGGTGTGTTTGGGGTGGGATAGCTGTAGACCTCATATTATATTTTTTTGGCGGGGGCTGGAGGAGGAGTGGTACTCTTTTTGTTTTTCACAGTTTTAAAAAAAGTTTATTAGCATAAACTAATTGTACAAGGGGGTTTCATTGTGGTATTTTCTTACATGCCTACATGCAATGTACATTGATCAAATTCACCCTATCTGTATTACTCTTTCTTTTTTGGGGGTAGGAGGGTGTCAGTACTGGGGTTTGAACTCAGGGACTCATGCTTGCTAGGCAGTGCTCTACCACTTGTGCCCGTTTTGTGTTGGTTATTTTTTTAATTTATTTTTTGGTGGTACTGGGGTTTAAACTCAGGGCTTCATGCTTGCAAGGCAGGCACTCAACCACTTGAGCCACTCTGCCGGCCTTTTTTTGGTCATTTTTGAGATAGGGTCCTGTAGACTATTTTCCTGGACTGGCTTTGAACCTCAATCCTCCTTATCTCTGCCTTATGAGTAGCTAGGATTACAAGTGTGAGTCACCTGCTCTTGACAATTACAAGTGTTTTATGAACTCTGGTCAGGGTCTAGAAGCAAAGACCAGATGTATTTATTATGTCGCATCTCAAATATACTTATTTCTCTTATTGTGGTAGTATATACATAAAACTTATTATTGTAACCTTGCACTTACTAGGCAGGCACTCTACCACTTGAGCCACCTTCTTAAAAGTGTACACTTCAGTGGCATTAATTTTTCCAGTGTTGTGCAACTCTCCATTTCTAGAACTTTGTCGTCATTCCAAACAGAAGGTCCCTACCTAATAAATAATAGCTTCTGATTTTCCAGCCCCACCTGCCCAATTTCCTGCTAACCTCTATTCTTTCTATTTCAGATTATTCACTAGATTTTTTTTTTTTTTGGTGGTACTGGGTTTTGAACTCGGGGCTTTGCCCTTGCTACATAGGTACTCTATGGCTTGAGCCACACCTCCAGTCCTTTTTTTAGAATTTAAAATTTAAAAAATTTTTTTAAAGGTAGGGTCTCACTTTGTAGCCCAGGCTGACCTGACACTTGGTATGTAACCCAGACTGGCCTTCATCTGAGATCCTCCTAGCTCAGCTTCTCCAGTGCTAGGAATATAGATGTCTACCAGTGTGTTTGGTTAGACAATGTTTTTTATGTGTGATATATTCTGCAACTTTGCTGAATTTGTTTATTAGCTCTAACAGGTTTTGTGTGTGTTCGTGTATGTGTGTATGTGTTTCTTTAAGGCTTTCTACATAAGAGATCATGTTGCCTTTGAACAGATATAATTTATTTTCTTCCTTTTCAATGTGGATAACTAGTTTTTTTTTGTCTTAATTTCTCTGGATGAGAATTTCTAGAGGTAGTAAAGTCAAGCATTCTGTTTTCAGTCTTTTACTATTATGTATGACATTAGTTTGAGTTCTTCACGTGTGGCTTTTTTTTCAGTTCTGGGGCTTGAACTCAGGGCCTACACTTTGAGCCACTCTGCCAGCCCTTTTTTTGTGATGGGTTTTTTTGAGATAGGCTCTCACAAGCCATTTGTCAGGGCTGGCTTCAAACCTTGATCCTCCAGATCTGTCTCCGTCTCCTGAGTAGCTAGGATTATAGGCCTGCCACTGGCGCCCAGCTCACGTGTGGCTTTTAAATTATGTTAAGGACATTTCCTTTTTTTATACTGTGCTGAGGATCCCAGGGCCTTGTACATGGTAGGAAAAGCACTCTGCCACTAAGCTACATTGTAAGCCCTGTGTGCAGAGAAATTTCTCCCAATTCTTAGTTTATTGGGTATTTTATCATGAAATAGTTGAATTTTGTCAGATGATTTTTCTGCATCGATCAATATGATCATGTACAATTTTTCCCTCTTTATTGTATTAATCCAAATCATTTTCATTTTTTTTTCTTTTTTGGCGGCTTTATACATGGGTAACTTAGTCCATGTTCTGAATCAAGTTAACTAAAAGTAAGTAATGAGACCTATGAGCTCATGTCTGTAATGCTAGCTACTCGGGACCAAAGTTCGAGGCCAGCCCAGGCGATAAGTGAGACCCTATTTAAAAAATACCTAACACAAAATTAGGGCTGGAAGAGGGGCTCAAGTGGTAGAGTGTTTGCCTACTAAATGTGAGGCCCTGAGTTCCAACCCCACTATTGCTGAAAAAAAAAAGACAAAGTAATTGATGATACAGATGGTGGATTTTTTATTTTTTTTAGGAACTAATGAGTAGCCAGGTACAGTTTATTTTTATTAGCAGCTTGAGGATCCTGATTGTCTATAACAGTGAATTTTGTACCCTACTGCAAGCCCTAAATTATTTATGAAATGAAGGAAATGCCTGTATACATAAGTTACTTCTCTTCCATCTTAATCATAACATAGAGTTCTAATACTCAAAAGAAGTGGTTTCCTGCTGGGCACAGGTGGCTCACACCTGTGATCCTAGCCACTCAAGAGGCAGAGATCAGGAGGATTTTGGTTTGAAGTCAGCCCAGGCTAATAGTTCCCGAGACCCTACCTCAAAAAAAGCCATCACGGAAAAAGGGCCTGTAGAATGGCTCAAGGTACTGGCCCTGAGTTCAAGCCCCGGTACTGGAAAAAAAAAAAAAAAAAAAGAAGTGGCTTCCTGATCTACCAGTCGAACTTGGTCTTGGTGAAGACTGTGTATTAATACAGGTTCCTATGTAGTGGGGTAGAAGTGAAATGTCTTCTGTGTGGATTTTTTTTTTTTTTTGGTGTTGGGGATCAAACCCAGGGCCTCATACATGCTGAGCAAATGTTCTACCACTCAGTTACCCGCCCCGCCATGTATTTAAGAAATTTTTTACAGCAATGTCTTATTAGTTGGATACTCCTGAAGTCCTCCTGTAATTCAGACAACAAATTCAAGACACAGGACTAACTAATTTTAGTTGAAGTTATAGCTATGTTGAGCCTATGTATCATGGTGTCTACTGCATAATTTACATTTCAGCCCCCTCCAACTTGATTTTAGGCTTGATCCAATTAAATATTCTTGTGTCTGTGGAAAATTTAAAGTTTGTGGACGTGATTTAAGACTTCTAAGAGTATTCAGTTCAAGTATAGTGGGATTGTGTTTGCCTATAATTCCAGTATTTGGGAGGCAGGAGGATTGTGAGTAGGAGGCCATTCAGGGCTACGTAGTGAAACCCTGTGTCAAAAATGTGGTAGAGGTGGGAGCCAGTGGCTCACGCCTGTAAAACTGGAGGCAGTTTGAAACCAGTCTGGGTAAATAGTTTGCAAGACCCTCCCTTGACAAAACCCATCACAAAAAAAAGGGCTGGTGGAGTGATTCAAGGTGTAGGCCCTGAGTTCAAACCCCAATACTGAAAAAAAAAAAAGTGGTAGAGCTCTTGCCTAGCATGCACAAGGCAGTGGGTTTGATCCCAGCATGGAAGAAACCAAAAACCTCAGGTTTTCTGGGCATGGTAGTACATACCTGTAATTCCAGCTGTTTGGATGGCTGAGGGAGGGGAATCTCTTGACCACACCAGTTTCAGGTGATCCTGGGCAACACAGTGAGACTCTGTTTGAAACACAAAAACAACAAAACAAACAAAAAGGACTTAGAAAAAGTATATGTTGTAATATACATGAAATATAGAGAAGGGGAAAATGTGAATGTGCAAGAGTTTTATAGGTGTCTACTGTCATGCAAGCACATGCTCACATGTGCACAGTAAACTAGAACTATTTATGAGTGAATCTATTTTTTGAAGGATTGTAGTTTTACCTGGAGAAGTGCCATCTTGTTCTTTCTTATTTCCTGGTGCTTTGTGGTGGTGCTGGTGAAAGTGGAGATTAATATTTTGAACCAATGAATGAATACTTCGAGTTCACTGCTTTTAGCCATAATATTTTTGTTGCTTGAGGTGTAAGGGGAAAAAAAGAAAAGCAACTTAGTAGGTGGGGAAAGAAGGATAAAAATGTTGTGTATGAAGAAGAGAGGAAGCAGGGTCTATTTGTTAGACTGGTGGGGTATAGCCAAGAGTAGACATTAAGTCAGAAGCCCTTTAAGCTTTTTAACCTGTAGCTTTTATGTGTATGGTGACCAGAATGACACCACCTGAAATGAGGCAGGTGGAAGGCAGTCTCAGACCACAATGGGAAAAGTTAAATTCAAAGTTTATTTAATTCCAGCATTTGGTAGGCTGAGGCTGAGGTTAGCCTTGGCTACGTAGTGAGTTTGAGGCCAGACTGGGTTACATAGTGAGACCCTCTCAAAAAAAATATTTAGCTAGGCACCAGTGCCTCACACCTGTAATACTAGCTACTTGGGAGGATGAGATCAGGAAGATCAAAGTTTGAGGCCAGCCAGGGCAAATAGTTTGAGAGGCCCCTATGTACAAAATAACCAGAGTGAAATGGACTGGCAGTGTGACTCAAGTCATAAAGTGCCTGCTTTACAATCTTGAAACATTGAATTAAAACCCCAGTCCTACCAAAAATACTGTCAAGTTTCCAATAATTTTTCTTCTCTGAATTTAAAGAGTGAATAATCAGGGCCAGATGTGGTGATGCATGTCTGTAATCTCAGCTACTCAGGAAATGACATCCTGAGGGTCAGGGTTTGAGGCCAGCCCAAACAAAAAGTTAGACCCCTACCCCAACAAATAAGCTGGGCATGATGGCATGAGCCTGTAAACCCAGTTACGTGGGAGACACAGGAGACTCGTGGTCTGAGGCTGGCCCAGGCAAAACCATGAGACCCTATCTGAAATATGACTAAAGAGAAAAAAAATTTTTTTTTTCTGGGATGAAAATTGCTTTTAAAGAAATAGAAAAAAGACCTGTGCATGTGAGGCAAGTGCTCTATCACTGAACTATATCCCCCATCCAGCCTTGTTCAATAATACATTTCTGCAGGATGTGCCAGTAATCCTAACACTTGGGAGGCTGAGCCGGGAGGATCGAAAGTTCGAGGCCAGCTTGGGCTATAGTAGTGAGATCCTGTCTCCAAAAAAAAAATTTTCTCCCTATCCTTAAAATTTAAAATTTGAAAGAATTAAAAATTTTCTGTTATGTTCCCATATATTTGTTTTAGTATGTATTTCAGTGAGTTTTTGATTTCTCAAATTTAATCTAAAAGGTAACTTGAAAACATAAATCCAGGAGGCCCCTGACTTCAAACCCCAGTATCATCAGAAACAAACAAAAAGCCAAAAAACCCATAAATCTAAATTCTCCATTTCATTTTCCTCTTAGGCATGAATCCTACAAAACTCAGTATAGAGCAATGTTTGTGATGAATTGTTCTGTCAACAAAGACGAAGTTCTAAGATACAAGAACTCAGAGAACAGGAAGAAAAGGCGGGGCTTTAAGAAGATGAGGTCCAACCCTGAAGATCCTGCAGAGCAGGCAGACACAGAAGTGGAAGAAATCTATCACCCAGTCATGTGCACAGAATGTTCTACCGAGGTGGCAGTCTATGACAAGGATGAAGTCTTTCACTTTTTCAATGTTTTAGCAAGCCATTCCTAAACAGCTCAGCTGGCATTCAGTTCCCCAGTACTGTTATAAGGCAAATGTGGAAATGTTTTCCTCTTATCTATTCATAACCTTAAGTGATACTAAATTACTTGAGGAAGCAGTGTTTTATCTTTATGAAAGAGAATGGTTATCAGTCTTTCTCTCTTCCCCCTTCCTTTGTTTTCCTTTAGTTTTCTCTTGAATACTGATGGGATTCCATTCTTGATGGACATTTGGAAACTTTGGGGCTTTTTATTTATTAAAGCCTTCATAATTAAAATGTTCTGGTGTTAAGTAATATTTCTTTCTGAGTGTCTTAGTCTACTCAGATAAAGGAAAGGCAGTGCTACAGCACTGTAGGTTGTTGTGACAACCTACAGTTGGGTGCTTTCTGAAGAAAAAAGGTTAGAGCATCTGCATAGTAAGCATGAGTCCCTGAATTCAAATCTCAGTATTACCAAAAAAAAAAAAAAAAGTATTTAATGTTTTTGGGGCTGAAAGTCCAGCAGGTGGCCCCATCTGTTTGGCTTTGTTAAGGACCTCCTTGGCAGTGTCACTTCATGGTAGATGGCACCATGTCAACAGCACATGCAAGAAAGAGAAGTTACACTGGACACCAGTGGCTCACACTTGTAATACTAGCTACTCAGAAGGCAGAGATCAGGAGGAGCAAGGTTTGAAGCCAGCCTTGGGTTTTTTTTGAGACCCTATCTTAAAAAAAAAAAAAAAAATCAAAGGGCTGGTGGAGTGGTTCAAGTGGTAAGAGTGACAGTGACTGCCAAGCAAGCATGAGAGTCTGAGTTCAAACCCCAGTACTACAGGAAAAAAAAAAGACATTCAAGACAGGAAGCCAGAGTTGGATTAGGAGTTAGGTTTATTTTTTTAATCATAACTCAACTTTATTAATTTAAGTTTTGGGGGAAGTACTGGGGATTAAGCTCAGGGTCTCATGCTTGCTAGGTAGGTGCTCTACAACTTGGGCCATGCTCCTCACCCATAACTCATTCTTTTTTTCTTTTTGGCGGCACTGGGGTTTGAGCTCAGGGGCCTCATACTTCCTTGGCAGGGGCTCTACCAATTGAGCCACTCTGCCAGCAACTTTTTTTTTTTTTTTTTGACAGTACTGGGTTTGAACTCAGGGCTCATGCTTGGTAGGGGCTCTCTCTAATTCACTCTTGAGGGAACTACTTGGAGTCCCTTGAAGCTACATTAATCCCCTCCAAGGGCAGTGTCCCAGATACTTTCCACTAGGCCCCACCTCTAAAGGGTTCTCCATCTCTCACATTGCCACACTAAGGCCAAGCCTCCCACATACAAACTTTCTGGGGACAATCTATATCCATAACACTGAGTATTCTTTTTTTATTTGTATATACCATTGGCATGATTGAACTAGGAGTTATTTCCCAACTTTTGTCTGTATTGTTTTTGCTAAGAAGTTTTGCCCCTCCTCAAGATGGAGTGATAATTATAGCAACTGCTAGAATTTTAAAGAGTTGATGTCAGATGCCGTGAGTAACAAGTCTTTCCCTGGAAAGGGTTGCACTTACCAGGATTCATAATGAGTGATCATTTTAAAATAGAAATTCATGCTGGAGGGAGAGCAACCTTCCCCTCTGATCAGACTTTAAAAATCCTGTGGTCACTCTTGTGTCTGCCATTTATTCCTTGTTGTCAGTACCAAGTTAGCTTTTCAGTATCAATAATGCAAAAATCATTAGTAGCACCTTGGGGAGAAGTTGTACTGTAGGTATCTGCATTTTCCTGTTTACAGAACAACAAGATTTGTACTGTTTACAAAAACACATAAAACCTTTTTATTCTAACATAGCGTATGTGATAGAATGGAAAGTAGTCAAGAAATGTATTTGAACTCATGCTACTTTTGGGAGCACTTGTTCCTGTGAGGATCAGTTTTCTTTTTTCTCCCTCCCTTCCTCCCCACCCTTGTTTTTCAGTACTGGGGCTTGAACTCAGGACCTACACCTTGAGTCACTCCACCAGCCCATTGTGTGTGTGTGTGTGTGTGTAAAGGGTTTTTCAAGATAGGGTCTCTTAAACTATTTCCCCAGGCTGGCTATGAACTATGATCCTCCTGACTTCTGCTCCTGAGTAGCCAGGATTACAGGTGTGGGCCACTGACACCCAGCTCCTTTTTTGTTTTTAGACAGGCTCTTCCTGTGCAACTCAAGCTGGTCTTAAACTCCTGATCCTCCTGCCTCTGCCTCCCTAGTGCTGGAATTACAGGTGTGCACCACCACTCCTGGCTGAGGATCAGTTTTCTAGGCAAGTGCTCTATGATTGAACTACATTCCCTGTGCAAGGATCAGTTTTCTTGTCTATAAAATGAAACAGTGGCGGAGTGCTTGCCTAGCATGTGTGAGATCCTGGGTTTGATCCCAGCTCTAGAAAAAAAACAAAGTACAATACAAGAACAAAAACAACAAAAAACTGGAGGAGGGCAGTGATTTCCCCAGAGATATCAGGTCTCAGAGCTTGAGAGGACTTCCGCATAGTCCAAGAGGAAAATGTCCTTCCCGCCTACTTGCCTCTGAGCTTTCTATAGGCTGCACTTAAGGAGAGCTGGGACCCAGTGTATGACGTGCTATTCTGTGAATGGACGGAAGCACAGCTCCGCAGTACAGCGCCTGCTGCACACAAGGGAGGCCCTGGGTTTCATCCCCAGCGCGCACGCACACGCATACACATACACACACACACACACACACACACACACTTGTGCACACACACAAATCAATTTCTAAGAAATTTCTGCTGCTGTTCCTGGAATAGTGACACACAAGTGTAATCACAGCAGTGCAGAGGCTGATGCAGGTAGATCTTGAATTTGTGGCCAGCAGGGACTATGTTAGTGAGACCTTGTCACACAAAGACACACACACACACACACACACACACACACACACGTGTGCACACACACAAATCAATTTCTAAGAAATTTCTGGTGCCGTTCCTGGAATAGTGACACACAGCTGAAATCCCAGCATTCTAGAGGCTGAAGCAGGAGGATCTTGAGCTTGACACCAGCGTGGGCAACAATAGTGAGACTTTGTCACTCATAAAGACACACACACACACACAGAGAAATTTCCAGTAGTTTAATAACGTTTGGTAATTTGATAATATGCTGATACCTATCTGGATGGAGGGAATGCCAGAAGAAAGTCACAGTACCCATCTGTTTGTACTGTAGCCTTGTGTTGCCATATTGTAACTTTGCAAGATTTGTTTTGCAAGATTTCCTGTTACTTTTTTTCAGTAGTACTGGAGTTTGAACCCTGGGCCTCTCCAGTGGCTGTACCACTTGAGCCACTCCACCAGCTCTTTTTTTGTGATGTCTTTTGGAGATAGGGTCTTGGGACTTATTTGCTGAGGGCTGGCTTCCAACTTCCTGATATCTGCCTCCTGAGTAGCTAGGATTACAGGCATGAGCCACGGGAGCCCAGCTCCCTTTGTTATTCTCATTGCAAGATCTATCTTTTTGTGATTATAAATAAGACAGTTGCTATTTAAGCTCAGTTGATATTAAGCTAGTTTGTTATAAATTTAAGTAGAAAATTATACGTCCTCCAGGATAGCCATGAGAATATTACAAGAAAAAAATTGGAAATGACCAAGAATGCACAATATATTTAAGTATTATGAAACTATTCACAACTTTGGTTCTTTTTTTTGGAAATACTGGGTTTGAACCTAGGGCCTCAAGCTTGCTAGACAGGCGCTGTACAAATTGAACCACTCTGCCAGCCCCAGAGGGTCCCGAAGCCCAGTCCCCTTGAGGTTCCCGCCCGCAGTCTCCCTGTCCCTTAGTAGGCGGGTATGGGGGAGGGGACGTCGGCACAAGGCGAGGACTATGCAGATTTGGCGTCGCGCTGAGGCCGCCGGTCCCTGTCACTTCGGGCCTCACGTCCCGCGTGGGCGACAGCTCCACGGTACCGGGGTCCTGTTCCGAGCGGCGACGGGAGCACCAGGGGGCGCGCGGGGGCGGAGGGCGCGTGTCGCGGTGACCGTGAGTGAGGAGTGGGGCGCCAGCGAGGGCGTGGGTGGCGCGGAAAGGACAACTCATACTTACCTGGCAGGGGAGATACCATGATCACGAAGGTGGTTTTCCCAGGGCGAGGCTTATCCATTGCACTTCGGATGTGCTGACCCCTGCGATTTCCCCAAATGTGGGAAACTCGACTGCATAATTTGTGGTAGTGGGGGACTGCGTTCGCGCTCTCCCCTGGCTTCTCGGTGTTTCAATGGCAGGCTGGAGTTATTATTAGGAGAGTGCTATGTTTTCTGGCGCTTATTGTGTTTTCCCCGCTTGGGCGAGTGTAGGATTAGAAGTGTGATTGCACAGCGCTCTGGCTTTATAGATGCGGTCTTTTCTTGTCTATAACGTCAGTTAAATGGCAACCTCCATCTACGTTCAAAGGAATACCCAGTGCTTTGGGGTACCAATAACTATTCTCTCACAATTTTTTGTTTTCTTTTCTTGTGGCGGGGCTGGGTTTTGAACTCAAGGCTTCTGCTTGCTGGGAGGTTCTCTACCACTTGAGCAACTCCTGCATCAGGTTTTCTGTAGCTCCTCTGTACGTTGAGGGCGTTCGTGTATAACCAGCCTCCCATCGAGGCTAGCACAGGTCGGTGGTGGAGCGCCTGCCTACACGTGTGAGGCCTGAGGGAAGGGGAGCAGGGCGAGCGGGGAAGTGCTGCGCGCTCCGGGGTGGAGGCCCAGGAAGATGATGGCCTTGAGACGAACATGGCTTCAGTCCCTAGCACAGCAAAACTAAGTAACTGAAATTGAAATGAAAAGGGCGGGGGGAAGTACTCAGCGTGTGCCTGTGACCCCAGTACAACTCCTCTTCGGACCCCTCGCATCCAGGTGCCTTCAAAGAGGACCCGGTCAATGTCTCAGCGACCCATTAGTCCCTGACCTTATGGTTCAATCCTGTTGGGTTTCCCACCTTAACAAGGTAGCTGTGTGTGTGTGTGTGTGTGTGTGTGTGTAAGAGAAGGACAGAGAGACAGACACTCTGGGCTAATATGTGCAGGGTCCCGAGGCCAGGGTCAGAGGCACTCAAACCCCTGTCCTCCCTCATCCCTTTCCCTTCCCAGAGTTGATCTGGGGCAGAGAGGGATAAAGAGATGCTGGAGGACCAGGGAGGGCAGCACAGCAGAGAAAAGGAAGACGATCCATGGAATTCCTTCTCAGTTTTTCTCGATCATTTGTCTGTCCCACATCATGTTTAACTTTCCTAGAACAATGACACTGGTCCCATAAACA